GGGTCGAGGAGCACTCCCAGGCTGCAGACCTTGTCCCTAAGAGGGAGTGCAACCCCATTCAGGACTAGGTTCAATTCACCTTCCCCGAAGCCCAATCCGCCAACCAACAGGACCTCTGTCTTGTCTGGATTGAGCTTCAGTTTATTGGCCCTCATCCAGCCCATTACCTAAGCCAGGCACCAGTTTAGCACAGCCACTGCCTCACCTGGATTGGTGGAGAACGAGAGGTAGAGCTGGGTATCATCAGCATACTGATGATTCCGCAGCCCACACCTCCTGATGACCTCTCCCAGCGGTTTCATGTAGACGTTAAACAGCAAAGGGGACAAAATGGAACCCTGTGGTACTCCATGGCATAGCTGCCATGGCGCAGAGCCATAGTCCCCCAGCACCACCTTCTGGAATCGGCCATTGAGATAGGAGCGGAACCACTGCAAAGTAGTGCCTCCGACCCCCAATCCTGCTAGCCTATCCAGAAGGATACCATGGTCGATGGTATCGAAAGCCACTGAGAGGTCCAGGAGGACCAACAGGGACGCACTCCCCCTGTCCTTCTCCCTGCACAGCGACCAAGGCAGATTCAGTACCGTACCCGGGTCTGAAGCTGGACTGAAATGGGTACAGATAATCAGTTTCATCCAAGAGTGCTTGGAGTTGTCCTGCCACCACCCACTCCAACACCTTGCCCAGAAACGGGATGTTGGCCACTGGTCTATAATTAGTGGCCATCTCTGGATCCAGTGACGCTTTCTTCAGGACCGGTCGGACTACTGCCTTCAATAAACTAAGTAAATAATGCCTGACTGAAAAATTGACAATCTTATCTTAAACCTATTGATACAGAAATAAAATTCAGTTGATTCAAATTGAATTTCATTCCAGAAAGGAATGGATGTGACTGTAATGGCTGAGTGTGAGCTGGGAAATGCCCGTTTCAGATGCCCCATCAGCCATAACCTCACTAGTTAGCCTTATTCAAACAACTACCTCTCAATCTCAGCTTCCTTGTTCTAGCCTTAGAACACTAAGTTAAGAATTATTGGAATGGGTGAACTATTGCCTTGAATACACAAAAGTTCTATACATGGTTCTATAAAAGTTGATGTTTATTTCTAATAGTACTTTGCTGTACTAAATATTTAAATGATTAAGGTCACAAAAAACATTCCAACCCATCATGCTGGGAGCTGTAGGCCCTTTGCTCCTGTCTAAACATACACAGAATTTTGCTGTAAATGATTGTTATATACGCATAGGCTATAATCCCAAATCATAATTGAAGTATGGTTCTTGTAGAAAACCAAGCAAAGTAAACAAGATCAAAGACAGGATCAGTTTTCAAAGAGGACACCAGCTTTTAAACTCCAAATGGAAGGCATTGCTACCATACTAAGGGTCTTCCAACTGCTCCTGGGGAGCGTTTGATGTTTTGCAGTGTCAAAATAAGTATTTAGTACAACCAGCAATAAAACAGATGGATACACAATTGATTTGATGTACCACAGCAACTCTAGTCAAAAGTCCAGTGGGCCAGCTTAGGGCTGACCCCAGCAGGACTCAGCTTTCCAATATATGGAAAAAAGCTCGTGCAGTTCTGAAACAGTCCTTAGTGTTGGAAATCAGTTTTCAGAGGCCAATCCTGCAATTTATTGTTCCGAATTACAGAAATTTTCCTCTGAAAATAAGAATGTCCTTCCATCCCTCCACAGCTATCAGTCTTTAGAGGGGAAAAGGGAAAAAAAAGTTGTAGGTTTTACTTACACTTGACAAAAACAAATAGGACCTCCCCACTTCCTGTGACACATGAAGGTATCTCTATCAGACTGACACAGTTGTCTCCTCCACAAGGGAAACCGCATGGGCTTTATCAAGAAACATAAAGCCAAACCATGTAAGTGGGTTAGCAGAAGGAACAGAATTTAGTGAGATGAGCATAGCCAGTTCACACTTTGCACCCATTTCCTATACTGAGTTGCGAGTGCCATCTCACTGGTGGACTAGGTTTTTAACATGTTCAAGTTCTTTCTGGTATTGCTAAGCACTGTAAAAGCAGCCATGACCACATCTGATGATCGTGATGCCTCATAACTTCTCGACAGTAACAGTAGACCAATGAAAATGGTACCACATGGAAGTGTATAAATTTATTTTCACTTTGAGAGTAAAAATTACCTAATTGTAATATATTCTTCTTTTGCATTTGTCTACGCATCAGTTATATTTGGTGGCTTGTGAAAGTGTCATTGCCTACCATTTCCAAGCAACAGTTGCATGATATTTTCCCTCAGAAGCCAAGATGCCTCGCAACTGTCTAAGCAACGCAGGTAACTTCTGCTACATTTGTGGCGAGGTAAGACGGCAGTGGTAAAAAAGGCACGCCACTATATTTTGGATGCAAAATAGGGGATCAGGACGTTGGGCCCTTCATTATTATTGCATTGCATGTGCAACTTATCTGTGTCACTGGCTGAACAAGAAAAAGTCCGTGCCTTTCGCAGTTCCAATGGTGTGGAGGGAAACCACCAATCATAGTAGCGACTGCTATTTTTGCATGGTTCCCCCAATTAAAAACCAATAAATGAATGGACAGTTATGTTATTGGTATCATCAATTTATAATGATTGGTGTGGCACCATTCTCATTGCTATATAACATTTTGTAGAAAAGTTATGGAATCACACATCCCCCTCATAATTTTGATGCAATTTTGACCTGAAGCTGTATCTTGAAAACTGGAGCCAATTAATACTCAGGACTTAGTTTTCCTTCATTAATGACCCAATTCTGGTAAAATTTAGCTACTTTCATTTCCAAGGCTTTCTCCTTGTAGACCAGTGATATTGGATCTCAGTCTAGACAAAATGGAGGCATTACAGGTGCTTCTTTTATCCCCAGTGATTTTGTGAAACCTCTTCTGAATGAGGTTGCAATTCCCTTGAAGGATGAGATTTGCTGTTTGCAGGGTGCTTATGCTTAAGGCCCAGGAAGCCAGAGAGATGTGAAGCACCTTCCACGTGCACAACTGTGACCCCTTCTGGACAGAAATAGTGATGCCACATTTATTCTCACACTTGTAACATACAGGGGGGATTGATGTAATCAGTAGTGCACTGGATACAAGACTGTGCTTGAAAACTGTCCGGAAACTGTAGTTAGTTCAGAATATAGTGGCTAAATTGCTAACTTGAGCCAGGCACTGAAATCCCCCTCATATAACTGAGTGGCTGTACTAGCTCCTAGGTGTTTTTGAGCTCAATTCAAAGTGCTGGAACTGACCTTTAAAGCCTTTTCCCATGAAGAACCTGGGTAACTAACTGGGTCACCCATCTCAATTTCAGCCCCGCTGTTCACTGAGGTCAATTTCAGGGGCTCTTCAAGGACTAGCACTAACATTGCTACTAGAGACAAAGTGCCAGAAACCTCCATCATCTCTCCCGTTCTCAGCTATTTCCATTCTCTTGAGCAACCACCTGTGGAATTTTGTGAGAAGGGGCCATCTTATCCTTTGCTCCAGGCAGCAAATACCTTGAACCAGTCCTGGGATCTTCTTCAGATGCTTTAGTCACCCAACCTGTGGCAGGTGCAGAATACTGAAAGTTTTCTCAATAGTGGCTTCTGTTTGTGGAATGCTCTCCTTAGGCATGACTTTTTCGCAGCATTTTTGGAGCCATAAACATTGATGTAAACACAGGAATAATATGGATTTCATATTGCTTTATTCAGTGTTAATTTGTTTGGATGGGATTTATTTTATATAGTGTTTACAGTAATTTTATAAGAATGATTTATAAATAGGAAACAGAGGTGCAAGAAGGATAATGAAAATGATGTATAAGCCAACTGCTAGGATATTGTTCGCACCGAGTGTGAGAACTGGGCTATGTAATTCACTTCTTAACTGCTCTTTTGGCCTTCATGATCTCAGCTGACACACTAACAACCACTCTGATGTCACTGCATAAGCTAGGTCTTTTCCTGCAACTGCTAAGTGGAATAATGAAAACAGGGTTCTGGAATTTAGTTTTTTTTCAATACAGAAAAAGACAGTCCAGGATCTTGAAGTAAGACCCAACTGAGGGAAGCAGGATCATAACAATAAGGGATTTTAAAGGGGCAAAGACAGGCATGCTTTTCTCAAGGCAAGATGAGTAATATATGGCACTTTTTCTTAATCTTGTGCCCTCCAGCTGTAAAAATAGATTCCAGCACCTACCAGTCTCAACCAGCATGGCCAATGTTCAAGAACGCTAGAGTTGTAATCCAAAACATTAATTTGTAATGTACCAGGAGCAAATATGCTGTCTATTAAAAGGTGGCATGTATATATGCATGAGAAAAAAAAGAGTCATAATACAAGGAGTAACAACTTGAATTTGATCCTTTGGGAAACAAGTAAACACACATTTTCTCCCAAATTACTAGTTTATTAGAAAGTTTATTTTCCTCATTTTACAGCATGTATATATATATTTATATATATTTATATGTCTCTCTGTGTGTGTTTTTGTGTGTGTATACACACATTTATGTGACAAAATTAAATATAGCCTGCTCACACTGAAGTTACTGTGTGTTCTTTGTTGTAAGCACTCATGTCGAAGTCCAGCCTCTTCTTGTGTCCTGCTGGGATGCTGTGTCTTCAATTTGAATCTCAAGAGAATGAAGCACTGATAAATTAATACTGTTACTTGTTGAATATCTATAGCAACTAGCAACTGAATCCGTCTGCCAAAGAACATTTTCCAATGCTAGGGTTCTTTCTAGTGAAGTGCAAGGAAGAGCAGCTTAGAGCCTGGGGATAACAGGCAATAGTAGTTATATTCACAGTTTTGAAGTGGAGACCTACAAACTAGTAGTGCCCCTCTGGTCTGGACACAATCAAGTCACAAGCAGTCACCACTCTGCAGGAAACCATCTTTCCCCTTTACCCTCCCTCACTAAACTAAGATTTTAATATTGATCCCCCCCCCCACTTTTTTCAAGGGAGTGACAATCAGGGTTTCTTCTTTCTCAAGGTAGACATGACCTATCCTGAAGGGACAGCTGAGAGGACACGGCAACCAATAACTAGAAGAAATCCCAAGAAAGAATATTTGAAACAAAAACACACCATTCAAAACTTCTCCAAAACATAAAAAGGCACATATCTGAAAAGGAGCTTCAATATCTCCCATCATTCCTTCCCTCCCCATGTGGATGCAATGATTCAAAACAAGAGGTTTGAATCCCAGGAAAAACTGTTTTCTATGGTACACTCCCTTTCTGGAAAATGAATTCCTGCTCTGTTAAATCAACTGGCTCATTTTCTCAGTCAGTGAATGTCTCAGTTATCACACTAGTCCCCTTTTCCACAGAACTTACAAGAGGTATCACTATGCAGGACAGTAAATCATTAACTATTATAACAAAGGGTCCAGATCACTGCTCTTAGTTTATTCCAAATCTTGTCACATTTTCCCCTGTAAAATGAAAAAGTTGTTTTTTTGATACATAAAAATCCTTGAAAAATGAGCTCAAAATATACATGCTTGAAGCCATCTTGCATCCTAGCCACAACTAGAAGCATTGAACCTTTGACACAAGTTTTCTTTCCAAACTACATCAAAAGATAACCAAAGCCACCTGAACAAGTACCACTCAAAGAACAGGCTGTAAAAAGTGTTATTGCGGTATACTACCGATATGGAACATTTGTCAGAAGAGCTACAAAAAGCAGCATTGACATGTACAGAGTTCAGTGCAATTTTTAAAAACATTTTTTTCTTTTTAAAAAGAAATCATAAGTTAATAAGGAACCAAATATTACAGAGGAAAGAGTACAAGTCACCAAGTCATATTCCAGATGTTCACAGGACTGCAGTACAACATATTGCTTCAAGGACTGACACGGTTGCTCTCCATTCTCTCAGCAGCACTGCCTTGCCTTTCTGTTGTTGGAAACCAGTCACTGTTTATTTTTCTTCGTGATAATAATCAACAGACTGCTGAACATGGTTCTCAAATGAGAGCAGAGAAGGGGGGCTAATAACAGAGAGATGGGTCCAAGTGTTGACCAACCCTTGGCTCCTTTGCTCAATTTAAGGTGGATCCAAAAATTACTTTCACACTTTATATTAAACATAGATACTGGAGCCAAGGTAATTTAGGTATTACCCACTTAGGTTTTCAGAGCAGAAGGAAAACAATTTAAAATTGTGCATCAGAAATTGAGGGAGGGGGCACACCTGCTAAAGAACCTCGCATCCACACAGATGTGAATATGTTACTCCCTTGGATGCAGGAACCTCTGAAAATCCTTATGAGCAGGCCTGCAGCAGCAAAGTTCTCTGCTCTCCCACAGATCTGTTACCTTGAAGCTCCCTTTCCCTGCCCAGTCCTTCCCTTCTTTGGCCATTCTCAGGTCCAGTGTCAGTCATTACCTTTCAGAAAGCAAGGGACACGCACAGACAGACATGCTTCTGCCCTTTCTCCCCACAGCCCCCAACAGAGGCTGCCTCTTTTTCATTCCTTCATGTGCCGTGGCTGGGGGGATGCTGCAAGTCCTGCCCTGAGAAGATGGGGTGCAGAAGGGGATGGAGGTGTAATGCTGTGGCAGCAGCTGTAGCTGGTCGGGGTGCTAGAAGAGTTGGATACAGGGCAGCGTGGGGTACCGGATGAAAAGTGAAGGGGCCTGGGTGGATGGCAGAGGCAGGGATGATATGGATGGGGTGGCTGGCCAGAAAAGTGGCAGGATGCCCTGGGATGATGGAGTGGGTTAAGTGGGACAATGAGATAGGAGTCAAGTGAGGCTGGGGGATATGATGCACCTGTGCAAGAGGCTGGGGGTGAGGGTGTGGGTGGATGCCAATGGCTGCAGCAGCTGCTGCTGCATGATGCTGAAGGATGGCGTGCTGTACAGTGGTAATGGAGGTGGCTGCAGCTGCTGCAGGCTGCTGGATGTGGATGGGCTGCAGGGCAGGGGTTGTGGCAGGAGCAAGGGCTGCTGAGGCAGGAAAGGCTTTGACTTGCTTGGCGAGGAGCTGCTGCTGAATGTGCTGCTGAGCTGCCTGCTGGAGCTTGCTGTATTTCTCCATCTCTTCTGGGGTGAAGGTGATCGGCTGGCTCTCCAGTGGTGCGAGGGAAGAGTCCTCCGTGCCCTCTGCCTCCCCACTGATGCTTGCTTCCCCACTCTGTGGTACATAGCGAGGGAAGTGCTCCACATCTGGGACCAAGGGCACAATCCTTCCTTCTATGGAGACAGGCGGATTCCCACCATCCAGGGGCTCTAACGATTCGCCTTCACTGGTATCAGGAAGGAAGCTGTGTGGTACAACCAGGTCCCCAGTTCCATAGTGCTCTTGGAGCACTGGCGGCTCAAGAGGAACAGGAGCCATCTCTGTGGCCACTTCTGCTTTCTGACTGATTGAAAGGTTGTCTTGCGCTCCCATGACCAGGGCATCCTCCACTTGGGGTTGGCTTGCCAGGACTGTCTCCCCACCATCATGGGTTGCTTCATCCAGCTCAGACAGCTCCAGTTCTTCTCCTCTTTCTAACCCAGCCTCCTCACACTGCTTGGTGCTTGGTTTGCGGACTGTGGGGAGCTTTCCAATTAATGGAAGCACAGGTTTGTTACCCAGGGAGGGTGGGAGCTTTGGGCCAAAATAGCCCTGTGGGGGATCTTTCAGCTTTATGCCCACCTTGTGAGGCCCTGCAAGAGAGTCCTCATTGCTACTGGATTTCTTTTCCACCTTCTTGGACTGAATTTTTTCCAGAAGGAATCTGGCCGTGGCAGAGTTCTTCTCATTACTACAGTTGCTCCCCATGCTAGAGCTGCCACTGTTTTGGGAGAGACTGCTTGTCCCTGTAACTTCATCTCCTCTTGCCTCCTCTTTTCTTACAGGTCCCTCACCTTGTCTAGCTCTGAAATAATGAGGAGACTGTGAACGATAGATTTTTGACCGGTTGAAGTCTCGCCGGCCAGATCTCCTCTCACCAGGGCTTTCATGCCCCCGGGACCCCTTTCTTGAAAGTGACCTCTGTGAAAGGCTTCTTGTGCTCCTGCTCCGCTCCCGGCTATAGCTCCTGCTCCGCTTCCAACTGTGCCCTGTTCGACTGCGGCTGCGATGCTTACTCCGGCTATGGCTACAGCTACTGCTGCGGGTCCTACCCCGACTTCTTGTCCTTGACCTCCCCCTGGCATGGCTTCGACTCCGGCTTCGGCTCCGTGACCTGCTCCTGCTTAGACTGTAATCATCCTCGGAAGTGGAGTACTTGCGTCGTTTTGACCTGCGCTTGGAACTGGCATAGTCTGAGTCATCTTCTGAATCATGAGAGTGCTTGGTACGACTCCGTGACCGATCACTGTAGTCACTATAGCTGTCTTCTGAGTAGCTTCGACGCCGGCTGTATCTGCTGTTGTCAGAGGAGGCATATGAACTTGAGGAGTATGACCTCTGAGATGATCTTCGAGAGGAATGCCTGTGTCCTGACCGGGAGCGACTCTGTGAACAGTCACTGCCAGAATCGTAATCATCACTGTACTGCGATGCTGACTTCTGCCTGAAGTGCTTGCGGCAGGAATCCTCATCACTCTCATAGCCACCACTGCTCTGCCGGCCTCTATGGCTGGGGTGAACTGAAGTTGCGGTGGAAGACCATCTTTTCATGGCAGAGGAAGACTGCAAGTCCCCCTTGGGTTTTTTGTTGCTGTGATCTTGGGAAGAGGAACCACTGTCTTCTTTCTTGCTGCTGCCTTCTTCAGTAGAAAGTGACTTGCGCTGTGAGTCTTGTGTGCACCACTTTCTTTTCTTAGAATAGCCAGCCTCTTCGGTCCCTTGAATTCGTTCAGTCTCCACAGGAAAGGAAGATTTGCTCTTTTTGCGTTTGCGTTTCTTCCGTTTCTTGGGTTTATCTTCTGCTGGGTCCCCTTCCTTGCTTTTTTCCTCTACCTCAACTTTGCGCCTGCGTTTATGTTTGGTGGACTTCTTGTGCTTCTTCTTCTTCTTGTGTTTGTGGGATTTCCCCATTTTGTCCTTCCGACCGAGACTGCTTTTATTGCCATCTTCTGGTCCTTCATCCTTGCTAGCACTCACCGGGCTAGACTCCTGCTTGCTGCACACTTGCAAGGACTTGCTTTCTGGCATTGGGGTGGAGCTGCCAGCTAGAAGGTTCATTTCCTTACACTTGCTTGCATCATCATCTTCAGCCAACTGTGTTTTCTCCTTAGGAAGGCTGGATGTGGTATTTGGTTTTTCTGCTACTTTCGCTTTAGTGTCTTTGTTACGAGACAACTTAAAGTCAAAATACAAGGGATTGCAGCTGTATGACACAGAGGGCTCTGCTTTGGTGAAGATCAGCAGTTCTGAAGGCCACTGGAGGGTAGTGCTCTCATCTTTACTCAGTACTGGGAAGAAGGGCCCTGTTAAATGCTTAGGCCCTTCTTTAACAATTGGAGCAGGTTGGGGGATCTCTTTACTGAAATTTGATTCTGACGAATCATTTCCCTTGAGCTGTTTGCCCTCCTGCATGACTGTCTCTTCAGGAACCTCTTTATCTTCCGTTTTGCTACTTTTGTGGGTGGGGCTTGCTTCCTTCTGATGGGCAACCGATTCTGTTACTGCTGCCTTCTCACAATGTTTTGCCACTCTGGTTTTGGGGGAGTTATTTAGCTTCTTTTCAGATGCCACTTTCTTGCTCAGTGCTTCTGCTTCAACTTGCTCTGTAGCCTTCATAAATAGTAGGAACTGGAAGTTGGGCTTCACCTTGCAATGAGCAGGTGGGATGTAGTGATAATACTCTGGTTCTAGTGTCACTGGCCCATCATCTCGTTTCATCTTCTTCAGTTTCGACAGTGCAGAATTTAGGCTTGTACCATCTTTTTCATGGGTTTGCTCTTCTTCATCTCCCTTGCTGTCAGGGCTGTTTGCTCCCTCAGCATCCCCAGTTTTACTCAAAGCTGCAGAATCTGAAGGGGCTCTCTCATCAGCTTTGACTTCATCATCAGGAGAACTGGACTCATCCACGTGGTCTTTGAAGACAGAGGCAATTGACTCTAGCTTCACAGGAGTTTTTTTGGCAAATGAGAAAGATACACCTATCTTAAGAGGATTAACCCCCATGCCTCCAGCTTGCTGTACCTGGACAGGAACTTGCCCTAGCCCAGTGTTGCTACTGGTTTGGCCACCAACGTAAGTAATACCCTTGTCTGTGGTCAAACTGGTAGCTTGTCCAGAAGCTGGTGAGAAGGAAGAGCAACTGCTAGAAGCTGCTGAGTCCATGTCATCCTCTCCTCCTTCCTCATCTACAGCCACAGTAGTGGTTCTAAACATTGGCCCACTTCCTGGAGCGCTGGGGAAGTGTGAAGGTGGGAGAAAGGTGAGGCAAGATAGCAGCAGTGGGGAAGGAGGGAGAGAGAGGGAGAGAGAGAGAAAAGATGATTAGAGCCTCTGGTTATTCACATTTAAACCTTCATTGTTTATGCAAACACTTCCAACCAATATCTTTTGTTAATTTACTCTGAAGCTAGCTACACAATGAGAGACAAAATTTTGATGCATAGCTCCACAAACACTGTGGAATGGTTGCTGTGCTCTAACCAGTTCATTCATTACAGAAGCTGAGTATTTATTTATTTCATTGTATTTATTTATTAATATATAAACAAGGCTATTAATTTTATAAATGCATAAGATTATTAATTTTAATGAATAATTAATGTGGAATATTCTAGCAAAGGAAATGAAAGAGGATGGCGTCAGGGATCCAAGACTTCACAAAGTCCTGATGCATATGTGGAACTTTATGTGAACTAGGGCTTTCCCTTATTCATTTCTGGGCCAGAGCTTTTCCCATACAAATCGTCAGACCTACTGGCCTGGGACTCCAGAGACCTGAATTGTAGTCTCCACTTAGTCATGACACTCACTGCGTGACTTTAGGCTAGTCATTGACTCTTAGTCTAACTCAACTCACAGGGAATAAAATAAAAAACAGATGCCTGCAGAATCCATCTGTGTGACTGAAATGGTGTGATATAAATATAATAAATAAACACATATACAGTGGTACCTTGGCTCACGAACTTAATCCGTTCCAGGACTCTGGTCGTGACCCAAATTGGTTGTGAGCCAAGTTAAATTTCCCCATAAGGTTCAATGTAAATAAGGTTAATCTGTTCTGTAACCATTTTTTAAATCAGAAAAATGTAAAGCAAAGTGACAACAACAAAGATCGCAGCCATCTCCCCCCACCCCCAAGCACAAGCACAGCCATCTCCCCGCCACCCCAGCAGGAACAAGATTGCGCCCGTCATCCCGGCACGTTGGGGGCTGGGGGGGGAAGACAGGAGCAATTGTGGGTGCACTGGGGGAGGAAGAGATGGGCGCAAACGGCGCGCTGGGGGACAGAGAGATGGATGCAAACAAGGCATGCTGGGGGAGGGAGAGACAGGCACGAACGGGGCACACTGGGGGTGGGGAGATGGCCACAATTGTGCTGGTTGGGGGGGGGGGTGGCTGAGATTGTGCCTGTCTTTCCTGCAGGAGCACATCTGTGATCACGCACGCCTTCCCTGCACGAAAGCAACTGCGATTGTGACCATCTCCCCACTTGGGGGTTGTGGGGAGATGGCCATGATCTCGGTCACCACCCAATGAGGAGTTCGCAACCCAAGTCAAAATTTTAATGAAATTTTTTGTTCATGACCCGATTTGTTCATGAACCAAGGCATTTGTGAGCCAAGGTACCACTGTAATAAAATTATCTCCCTTCTACATTTCATCCTTCCAAAATCTGTTTCTGGAGGGTGGGGTGGGATTAGGATAAGGGAACTTGGACAGGTATCCAGTGAGCCAGGCATTCCATTTTCAGGGGTCAAAGAATAGATTCTATCCTATGTACATCCAAACAACAGCATAGAATTCAATGCATAGTATGTGACTTGGAGCAAAGAAGGGTTTGACTAACTTGTGAGTTGGCACAAGTGTATTTTGTATGGCATTAATACACTGTCACTCACCATTCAGGTTGCTTCCTCTGCTCAGCCAGTTCATGCAGACGCCGGAGGGCTTTCTCCTGTTTCCTCTCATCTTTCCGAGATCTTGAAGATACATTGCGAGCAAATTCTCTTTGCTTGAGATCTTTCAACCTCTGTAAGACAAACAAGAAAGGAAAGGAGAAGGAAATAAGGTGGAATCCTGAAAGTGTCTCCCACCCCTACACCCAAACTGGGTTTCCTCAATCCATTCCATGTTCATTTACTAGATAGTTAAGAAGAATAAAGGTAAAGGAGTCCCTGCGGATTTTACTTGGCTTAGCCACTGGGTTAACGGGGGTGATGCTCATCTCCATTTCTGAGGCTGTGAGCCAGCACTGTCTGAAGATGATTCCTTGGTCATGTGGCCAACATGATGTCATGGAGTGCTATTACCTCTCCACCAAAGTGGTACCTATTTATCTACTCGCATTACATGCTTTTGAACTGCTAGGTTGGCTAGGAGCTAGGGGAGAATGATGGGAGCTCATGGAGGCTTGGCTCAAACCACTGGAGTGCTGACCATTTCTGGCTGACAGTTCCAGCCTCATTAAGCTGCAGCACCACCATTTCCTCCATATGAGCAGACAATAAGAGAACCAAGGAAACGGTTTTGAGGAGCATAATGCTAACAACATTAATGACAACAATAAATAATTCTTTTAATAGAGAGTCAGTGTGGTGTAGTGGTTAAACAGTGCTGGACTGCAGCGCATGTGATCTGGGTTCCAGTCCCTACACAGCCATTGAACCAACTGGGTGACTTTGGGTCAGTCACAGACTCTCCTCCCAACCTACCTCACAGGGTTGTTGTGGGGATAAGATTGAGAGTAGCAGAAGGAGAATGTAAGCTGCTTCGAGTGCTTTTTAAAACAGAAAAAAGGCAAGACAGAAATCTAATATAAATAAATAAACATATCAAAAGAAAGCAAGTCGCTAAAGAAGCATTTGGACCACAGGACAATAATGGAATTAAAGGAGCACTAAGAGGGGATCAGAAGGTTGCAGAGAAGCTGAATATTTTAGTTTTCATCAGCCTTTGCAGCAGAGGAGGCAGGGCATTTACTTCTTCCTGAGCTGAGTTTTCTGGAATGGAGTTGGAGGAATAAGGCAAATAGTAGTGATAAAAAAATAAAATTCTTGACGTTATTGACAATTTGAAAGTCAGTAAATCACTTGGTACAGATGGTATCCATCCTAGCATTCTCAAATAACTCAATCATAAAATTACTGATCTTTTAACCAAAATATTTAATATGTCCCTAAAATCAGCCTTTGTACCAGAGGACTGGAGAATGGCCAATATAACACCAATTTTAAGAAAGGAATCCGGGGGGGTGGAGGGGGTGGAGAATGACAGGCTGGCTAGCTTAACATCTGTTCAGGATAAACTGCTTAAAATCGTTATTAAAGATAGATTCAATAAGCACATGAAGGGGTAAGCTCTGATGAAAAAGAATCAACATGGCTCCTAGAAGGGGAAGGCCTGTCTCACTAACCTATTGGAGTTCTTTGTGAAATTCAACAAGCCCATAGGCAAGGGCAATCCAGTGGACATTGTTTACTTGTACTTCCAAAAGTCCCTCACCAAAGCCTCCTCAGCACACTAAGCACTCATGGAATAAAAAGTAGGCTTCTCTTATGGATCACTAACTGGTTAAACAACAGAAGAGAGATGGTGGGAATGAATGGCAATTACCCCCAATGGAGAAATGTCAGCAGTGGAGTCCCACAGGGTTCTGTATAAGGACCAATGCTTTTCAACCCATTCATAAATGATCTGGGATTAGGAGTAAGCAGTGAAGTGGCCAAGTTTGTGGATTTCACAAAACTATTTATGGTAGTTAACATTAAAAGTGATTGTGAGGAGCTCCAAAGGGATCTATTCAAGCTAGGAGATGGGCATCAAAATGGCAAATAAGTACATATAAGCAAGTGTAAAGTACTGATGTTGGCACTAAAAAAAGCTGCTTGGTGGGAAGTTTAGGACAGATAAAAGAAGCACTTCTTTACACATTTGATAAAACAGGAATTTGCTGGCACAGGATGTGGTGATGAGCACCAATTTGGGTGGCTTTAAAAAGGGACTGGATTGATTCATGGACAAGAAAGAGAAGGCTATCAGTGGCTACTAGCCTTGCAGGGTATGTGCTACCTCCTTCACCATAGCTGGCATGCCTACATACACCACTTGCTGAGGAGCTTGGGCAGGCACAGGTCTTGCATCTAACCTGGTTGAGGTATTCTGTGGGTAGCTGGTTTGTCAACATGTGTGCAGAGTGCTGGACTAGATGGATCTTTGGTCTGATGCAGCATAGCTTTTCTTCTGTTATATTCTTAATAGTTGGTTAAGTCCTGTAGCTTGATGGTAGAACACCAGCTTAGCTTAAAGAAGGTTGCATGTTCAAATTTCCCACATATCCACGTAGGGCTGGAAAAAATGTTGCCTGAAAAACTGGAGAGCTGCTACTAATCATTGCCAACAGTATTGAACTAGACAGACCAAGTACATGAGTGCTTCCCATGTTCTTAACTGGGCTTAACTTCATATGAAATGTCCTTGTTGTAATACTTGGTGTTCTTGGGTATAAAACAGAACATTCGAGGCACAAAATACAAAAGATAGCTTTTACTAAGTGAGCCATAACTCAATACAAAACTAACATTTTTACCTACTCATTATAACACCAGGTGAGCTACGTTGTACCACCATCTGTTTCTTTTGTCTTTTACTGTGGACATACCTGAAAAAAACTTTTTTTTTGCATTCCTAGCTAGCCTCAGCTCATTCTCAACCTTAGCCTTCCTGATGTAATTCTGGCAATTCTGTGCCACCTGTTTCTACTCATATTTTGTTGCCTGGCCTTCCTTTCTCTTCTCATATTTGTCCTTTTTAATTTTCATGTCAATGCCAATGTTTGTAATTGTGCCTTTAAAATTTTCTTTTTTAAAAAAACCTCCCACCTATCTTGGGACTCTTTTTTTCCCCTAAGGTTCACTTGTCATGGGAACTTACTTATAATTGTCCTGAGTTTATTAAAATCAGTTTTCCCTAAATTCAGAGTCTGTGTATGGCTACAACTCAATTTCTGCTTCCTTTGAAATCAAGAACTCAGGTGTGTTGTGGCCATTTCCCCTCAAAGTTTCCGTAACTTCCACTTTATCCACTAAGTCATCCCTATTAGTATTAAGTCAAAAGTCAACCCTCTAGTTTGTTCCTCCACTTTCTGTAGAAGAAAGTTGTCTGTCATGCATGTCAAGAATATCCTGGAAGGCCCACTGTTGGCAGAATTTGTCTCCCAACAGTTACTGGGATAACTACCACACCACAGTTCCTTAAAATACAGGCAATTGCTTAACAAAAGTTTCACCTTCATCTTCTGCTTGATTGGGTAGATCAATCTGTAATAAAAACCTCCTTGTAACAGAACTGCCCCTAATTCTGTACAGCTAGTATCAACTGGCAACTTCAAACCTTACAGTATCTTAACACAGGACTTTTGTTAACAACTTGAGTTCACTGTAGGCATCCTCATGGACCCTTTTCCATTCAAATTCTACCTCTTGAGCTAAAAGTTGTTTCAAAATAGTTGTCAATGTAGCAAGATTTGAAATAAATTTAACCAAACAATCAATCATACCCAAGACTCTTGGCACCCTTCCCTTATTTTGAGAACTTGACATGCCGGCAATTGTTTCAATTTTAGTTTTATGTGATTTATTCCTTCTGCAGTTAAAATACGTTCCAAATAATTATTTCAGTCTTTGAAAATTTGTATTTCACTCTATTCAATTGCAAATTCCTTGTTTTATACCTTTCTAAAACTTGTATAAATCTTCCATCATGTTATTGTAGTTTCTTTCCTTGTGTAAGTATATAATCAATATACTTGTTCTAATCCTTCAGAAACTTGCTGCATGTCTCTTTGATATACTTCAGAAGCAGATAAAGCACCAAAAGGCATCCTGGTAAATCTTTATCTACCAAAAAGTACATTAAAAATAGATAATCTGGCACCATAATCTTATTTTACAATCATTACACATCTGGAAAAAATACTTGGGACAACACTTGAAGAAAGTTTCACAGTGTTCACATTAGGCAGCTGAATTTTCTTTTTAACACTGTATTTTTCAAAATACCAATTTCTCTTTCAGTTGCTCATATTCCTTTCATCTACTCTACAGATATCCATAGCTTTTTCCAAGGTCAAATCATTTCCCTCAAAAGTCTTGCTCAAAGATTATCTGAGTCTATTTGGCAAAAAAATTATCTTTAATTGGAGCCTCACACAGCGGGCTAAATTCAAATGACAGTCAAGTTGGTCACATAAGAATCAATAGTCTCTTCCTCTTTCTGTGCTCTTGAAAAGAATTTTTGTCTCTCAAATGTAACATTTCTTTTAGGTGCATTATGTAACTCAAACTTCAACTCAACAATGTAACTCAATTCAACAAAATCTTCATCATGTGCCTATCTGCTTCTTCATTAAAATGAAGGGTTCTGTATACTCCTTTCCCCCCTGCCAGATGCAATAGAACAGCCTTGAAACTTCTCACTTTTCTTACCAGCTTCACTAGGAATACAACATAATTCAAATCCTTGCTTCCACTTCCTCCAGTTTTCAGTCACATTACCTTCAAACAACAGTTTTCTGGAGGCTTCAACTGATGCATCTCCTTGTACTTCTGACACTAGGAAACATTTGCTGTCCTTAGGAATAAACCGAACACTCCCATATAACACTAATCAGGTACAAACACACATACTTGCACTTGTAAAAAGGAAACAGTTGGGCACAAGTGGCATTCTGCCTGGTCTATTGTGACAGTGCCATGAACACAGTGAAGCAAGGCCCCAGGTTTAATCTCTACCATGTCCAGGCAAGTCTAGGAAATCTCATGCTTGAAATCACTGCCCAGAGAGTTGTGCCCAGGAGTATTAGGTATGGTTTAGGAATCCAATTTTTAAAATCCCTGATAGCTGCTGCCAATCAGTGTCAAGAATACTGGGCTAATGCACTGACTCAGTATAAGGCAACTTCTTATGAGGAGCAGTGGGAAAACAAAGGAGGATTATGACTGGAAGCCAGAAACATTTGGAACCCTTGCAAATTCCATGAATGATGTAGATGATATACCCTCATCTGGAGGCACCCTCAGTTTTCTGCTATTTTGCATGTTCACAGGGTGGGTTCATACATGCTTATATCTCAAAGAGAGGAGGGCATCTTCAAGCAGTCCAGGGCCCAATTTCTAGCATTTGGTCCATCTCAGAAGCTGTACTTTTCCCACCACTGCATTTGGCAGAATGGCTGGTGGACAATGAGTTGGTCTGCACATCACAACAAGCAATTGTTTTTGTTTACCACTGTGGGTTTGCCGGTTGGGCAACTACAATGAGAAGCAACAGTGTGTTGTATGGTTTCTACTTAGTGCAACAGTCTGTAATGATGTTCAGAATTGGGAGCTCAATTTTTCCATTTGTGCTGAAAATCACTAGAGTCCCATGGGAAGCAGCAATGTAAGGGGTCATGCCAAGCATCTAGTTTTTATTACCCGTGGCTGCCTAGCAACACACATGTCATTACTTGCTCTGTCCCTATTGGCTGAATGTTATGCCCATCACCCTGTTTACTTTCTGAAACAAGGAGAAAGCTAATAAATGCACAGAGGGAGAAAGGCTTTTATTGATACCTCTTGCAGTGATGCTTTTGGTGGCAGCACATTAAAGATGCAGTTCAGTGATTTTTGAATAAATTCCTGTCAGAAAAGAACCTAAATGAGTAGCTAAAGCAGCTTTCTTTGGAACTGCTGTCAAAGGAAAAAATGGAAGGTACAAAACCTAAACTTAGAACATGTTGAGGATATCATCGTTAGGCTTAAAACCTGATCCTATATATATAGAGAGAGACAGTCTGGCTGTGAATATATGATACAATTTCCAGGGAAGAAACATCTGTTTTATAAAGCACACCAGTAAAGAGATAGCAGCCCAAATATTTTAATTGAGAAATGTCTCTTACCACAATGCCATCAAAGAAATGTGGAACAAAGAAACGTGGAACACAGTTTCTACTGCTCTTAAGCAGCTCAATTTTCAAGTTTAAGGGCTATATTGATGACTATGTGAAACATTTGCAAAAACATTGCATTCCCAACTTCTTGAATGTTCTCTCTCAGACCTTTGGTTCAACTGACAAATGTTTAGTTCAGTCATACAACTGACAGTTTTTCTCATGTAATAGCTCGATTCACACGACAACCTACACTCCAGATTGATGATGGATTAAGAGTGGGCTGTCACAGATAAGAGGCATGCAAGCTTTCTTTTGCTTGTGTATATTTTGCACCTGTATTTCATCACTGTATTCAATAACCTGTATAACATCCTAAGCACAATTGGTTTTCTGTCATCCTGAGTATCCTCAAATCTAACATGCAGTGCCTGGTTGGACCAGGTCCCTAGGGATCACCACAGCTGCCTAATGTTTTAACTTCACTATTCCAGCTTTAACATGGTTTGTTTTCTATGCCTCAACCCTATCTATAAAGCAGAATGTCCTTGATCTTCACTGTTGCTTACAACATTATCAAAATGCTGGTTAGTCTCTAAAATATCAAAGCTGCCTTCCCTCTTCTTTGATAAAGGCCTTGGACTGAGGAGGAGGCCTACTAGCTTGGAACTGGATAATGCACAATTAAAAAATAAGTTGTCTACCTGAAACTGTCATTCAAGTGATTGTGTAATCTCACAGCTGGGTTCTACATCTGAGCATCTTCACAGCCTTCCAAAACTCTTTAGTTTAAGGAGGCAGCATTACTGCTTCTTCCATCAATCACAGACCAGTCCCACTACATCTGAACAGTAGGCACAGCAAGCACCTTCCCATTCAATTGCTTCAGCTGCAGAGATTATGATAGCAGTAATAGAAACTCAGTAATGGAAGAGGAGGATGGGAAAAATTACTGCACTTGGAAGATAATATTTTCTTTTTCATGGATACAAGGGGATCCACAAAGGAGCTATATTTGGGGTGGGGGGTCAGGAGTTGAGGCACAAGCTCTTATATATGGTCAGAAAAGAAGAGCATCTGTGAAACAGGAAATACCTACAGCTTTAGGGATACAAGGGAATGGCTATCCTGTAATTTCAAAAGGTTCCTTCTGTGACTCAGAGTATTAATCTCTGTTATCCTCCTAGCAGATACAAGGACCACTAGGAATACCAATTTCCAGATGAAGAATGCCTAAAGGGGAAGACTGAAAGGGGACAAGGACTACAAGTGCTTTAGTACTAAAGGAAAGGCCCCAATGAAGAACTTATGGACACTGGAACATCTGATGAGAGAGGCACCTTTTGTAAGAAACTCTTACTGAGGGGGCATTCAAATTAATGACCAGGGCTGCCTTTCCTACCCAAGGCATAAAAAACACTGCCCAAGGCCATGACTTAACCTCCTAAATGAGCTGGGGCTCAATCCTTCATTGAATTCAGACTGGAGAAAGACTAAGACTTCTGGCACAACAGATAGCTGGATCATTTTTAATAAGGTGTCCATGCTCTGTCAAGAGCTGTGGTAGTACAAGACCCACAGATTGCCAGGATGGTCAGAAATAGTTTTTCTGAATATCCTTTCATCATGAATTGTTGGCCTTCAATCTCTATCTGTATACTTACATATACACTAAATCTGATTGTAGGATTAGGCCCTAGGTTAGTAAAAGCAGTTGGCAGGGCAGATGCCATTTATGATGGAGAAAAAAATAAGGAACAGTGCCAGGCAGTGACTGCTTATTTTGGTGGTGCCACCATGTCAGTATTGGCACAATTTTTAACAGTTAAGAAAGGATAACACACCTTTATGCCAGCCTCCCTATCCCCCACCACCCCAGGGAGAATTAAAGTCTTCAGAAACCAATTTTGCCCTATTTCCTTCCTTCCATCAGAAAAGTTTGAATGAATATTCTGGTTCAGCACTTGTTTCATCCAACATTTATGGATATTCACAATTCTTTGAGCAGGAGTGTTCCCATTCTCCCTAACCCTCCACACTCTTTCCTTACAAGAGGCCTTGCTGCTCTAGGCATTGACCAGAAAAACATGGAAGTGAGCAGATTCTTCTTCTGGGGCAACATGCAGAATTTATGCAAGGAGTCTAAAAAAGAGAAAGAGGAACCCCAAGATGCTGTTTGTTCTTCAAAGAAAGGCTCTCAGCCTACTATTTGAGTTAATTTCACAGAAAAATGATTTGTCAAAGAATAAGACTGAAAAGATGCAAGGTGTAGTGTTTTTTTGTGCCCCTTATCTTGAGATGCAACAGGAAAATATATATATATAAGCAGGACCATGGCTCCCAGCCTGTCACTCTGGCATCAAACAACTGGCAGAGAGGAAATGGGTCCAATGCATGGTCTTAGCACAGGATATCCTATTCGTAAAGTATCTCTTGCCTACTCCACTCCCTATTTTAAACCACTAAGAATGATTTCCTAGCACCAAATTGCTCAAATAGTTGAAGGTGACCTTCCTAAAGTTTTATCTCTCACTTTAGTATACGAATGATTGCTTCTCTAGTTGGGTCTGTCTTTGCCCCTCGCAGAAAACTCAAAGCCTGCTGAAATGCAAGACCCTAAGACATTCAGTTATTGGGAGTGGGGGATGGGAACAGGAAACTGAAGGAAAACTGTGGGGATTCAACTGTGTTGGGAGGAATATAGCTAGAACAACAGTACAAATCAAGTTTAACATTTAAAAATTCACAACCTAACTAAAGCTATTTCAAAAATAAGATTATACTTGCAGAGGGTTAGGAAAAGAAAGAATTCACTAAGGCAGCCTTCCTTACCTGGTATGCTCCAGATTTTTTGGACTTCAATTCCCATTCATTCCTGACCATTGGCCATGCTGACTGTGGCTCATGGAAACTGTAGTTCAAAACATCTGGAGGGCATCTCATTAGGGTAGGGTGGGCTAAAGAATGTGGGAGGAGGAAACACACTAAGAAGAAATATTCAGCATACTGCTCTGAAGAAGGTATATCCACAGTAATGGATATGAACTCAGTTCAATTCTGGTAAGATGACACAGCTCAAATTAAATCTTGGCATATGTTATTGAAGGGTAAGAGATGAAAAAAAAGTTGAACTCCATGCTTGAACTAAGAGATGAATGACGTAACAAATCCTTGCAGCCTTGGGTATTTCACCTGCATTTGATCTGGTATACACTGGTATGAACTGATCTTTAGCTTAGCTAAAAAAAATGACAAGTTGTTTCTTTCTGATTTTTCAAGGACCCTGTCAGGTCTGAATGGTATGGCACACCAGAAGCATCTTTCCTTCTTAAGCTGTGAAAAATATTCAAAACAATGCACATCTCCAGAAATCTGGCATACAAATCCCAAATGCACATAGGAAAACATTTTCTGTATTTTTAAGATCAGGTTAACACCAGTATATACAACTATCATTTCCTGCATCAATGTCTACACCTTTGCCTGTACTGCTAGACCTGACAAGTTCTAATACAACTCTAAAATGTACTTCCAACAATTAACATATTAATTTGCTAAAAGATATGCCATTTCATTCGCTCCATTTTATTTTCATTCCGATAGTAACTCCTAATGAACCAAGGGACATCAAGATGCTATTGTTGTTTGGGATGGGGAGGGGAAGGGATGGAAGGAGGCAAAGGCAGACCAGACTGAAGGAACTTAAAAAGCACTGAATTGAAAAAGCTACACCACCTCACAAATATACATGATGATCAATGCATAAGACAACAGGCTGCCTTTTTACCTGTTTGTGGGCATGGTCATAGGAATTTATATGGTTGTCAAACTCTTGATGCTTCTGATACTGCTTATCACAGAGTTCACAGTAAAAGTTAGCTCTAAGATCTTCAAGGGCCTTGGCAATTGCCTTTTCTTTGTCCACGTAATCCTGCAAAAATGAAAGGAGTCCAGTCTGCTAAAAATTCTTAAGAAACCAGAGAAGGTGTTCATTAAACATTTAACACTTTGCTTATAACAACCTATGTAAGCTGCTACTTTTTAGCCCACTCTTAAGGCTATAGGCATTATAAACAACTCAAAAACTGCCTGGTATCTGGTGGGAGAGCTTATAATCTACATTAGTCAAAACAGACAGCAGAAGTAGAAGGTATCTGTTATTTTAATAGTAGTAGTGATTGTTGTTGTTATGTGCCATCAGGTCATCTCTGACTTATGGCGACCCCATGAAATAAAATCCCTCCAAAATGTCCTGCCTATGACAGCCCTGCTCAACATTTCTAAATTCAAGGCTGTGGCTTCCTTTATGGGTCCAATCCATCTCATATTTGGTCTATCTTTTCTTCTGCTTATATTAGCTATGAGGTAGGGTGCAGGAGAAACAGATGCTAGTGGAGAAGATGTATGGCTAAACAAGGTTTTTCTTAAAAATACAGACTGAGAAGAGAGTCAAAGGAGGAAAGCTATTTAGTAAGAGAAAACAGAAAATTGTTCCAGTACATGAATTGGTTCGTTTCAGTCACACCCATTCCTTTCTACTCATCAGAATCTCTACAATGATGTACTGTATTTTTACCAAACAAGAACACATATTCAAGATCTCAGAACAGTTAGTGCAATAACTAAATTATGTTAAATGAACCTGAGGGTGCACTTTTGCTTATTATGGTCCTTGAACGAATCCAGCTAGTCTTGTATTCTCTGTAGGAACCTTAGTCATCAGCAGATACTAAGAATTCCAGACAGTTGCTTGTAGTCCACTGGCAGGTCAAAATTTCTCTCCTGTCCATACTTGATTTATAAAGTTGATTGCTTATACTTGGATCAAATGAGTACGCATAAAGATGCATTATGTAAGTTGGGACTACCATATTGTATAAAAAACTAGTAACTCTCAACTAAACACAGCAGAAACTAATCTGGATACCTTGTACTTCTGCCTTAGTTCTTCAGTATCTTCCTTCTCCACTTCTAAGACACGTCTCCGTTCTGTGGCATCTTCAGCATAATCAAGCTACTCAACCAAAATAGAGAGAGATTAGTTGGCCAACAACACAGGCTTTATAAAGCCAGCAAAGGAAACATCATAAATACATATTTGATTTTTTTCAAACACTCCATTCACCTCCAAATGGATAATTAAATGCACCCCCCACACACACCAAACTGAGATTTCTTGCTGGGGGACCCCAACACCACATAACAGATTTTGTTTCAAGGAAATTTGATGTATGAATCCAGTATTATGATTTCAGGAAGACCAAAGAAGAGGAGCTTTTTCTCCATATTGCAAATCTGAATGTATAAAGAAACTGTATGCAAAGTTAATACTAAATACTAACATTTGAACCTATGACGATTCCTTATTTCAAGTCAAGTCTGCATGTATAACAAGTCAAGTCTGCATGTGTTTTATTATTGCATAGCATACTGTCTCTGAATACTCCATATCCAACTTGAAAAGAAAAATCATAACTCCCACTCAACACTGAATAGTGTTAGGATGGAGTAGAAAAGTTTCTCTGCCATTAGGAAGTCTACTGGTGGGAGCAGTCTTTCAAGCCCCCAGCTACACTGAAAGCAACTTTGCAGGTACAGGTTAAGCCAAGAAATGGGGTAGACTGGATGTTGTATTAGATCTAATGGATCCAAAGCCCCATTGCTTCATCTGGATTTGATCCCTCACTGGTACTAACATGCACAGGAAATTTTATTCCCATTAATTTCAATTGGAATACATTTTTAAAGTTCTTTTAGAAAATAGAATAACATTCCCTCCAGCACCACCCCTCCAGTGTCCAATCTCCTGCCTTGGCTAACAGGGCTTAGGAAGTGGTGGATCATCCACTATGTTATACCCCACTTAAGACTGCTCTGTAAGTTATAATAGCTTATCACTATATCTAACGGAAATAAATTAAGAACTGCAAAACAGATATGCTTTCTTTTGCTTTTCCTAAATCCATCAAACTTTCTAACAGATGATTCACAACTTTTATATTTTTTCCTCTCTGCCAAGTTGTAAAGCCTTTTATATCTCCCCTTAGTAGTCTTCACTGTATACTAAAACATCTCAGCATTGTTGGTCTTTATCCATAAATATGCTCAGCTTTCTAATCCTGTGTTTAAGTTGTGGGATAACGTAGGACAGCATGTTAAGCAAAACACACACACACACACACCTCCTACAACTTGTAGCCAAGCTAGGGAATACCTAGGTTTTAGGTTTTTTCCCTCTCTAAGAGCTGTGCTTCTCATAAGTTTCTTTAATGTGCACGGCTCTAAATCGCAGGGTGGATATTGTAAGGCACAGAAAAGATGTTCATTTTGTAACCCTCTATTCTTCTTATTTACTCTGTGTGGGGACCAGAACTAATATTTTCAGGTTCTGCCCTAGGATGTCTGGTTCCACCTGAAAAGTAGAGAAACTGCTACCACCTTTCTAGTGTGATTTCAGAGGAAAATATATTGCATTCCTCAGGTGAGATTTAAACAAATGAATTTATTAGTTCGGGCAGTGCCTAGATCTGGCAAGTTTATTCACAATGTTTGAGCAACCTTCCATGACAAAGATGAGGGGCAATTTTTCACTTTTTAGAGAAGGGGTAGACAGATTTCAGGCCTGCAGGATGTATTTTATTTTTTTTCCAAAACACTGTCATTCACCATCCAGAGGTTAATTAAAAAGACATTAATTTTGAATAAAAGAATTCTGAACCCTGGGATCTGTTCTTAGTACCAGAACAGGTCAGAGCAATCCACTCCTGGTTACCTGCCTTACAGCTTTATTTCAACATCATGATTTGTGAGAGTTAAAGTAAGGAAAAGTCATTTTATTTCCACTATCGTCATACAATTTGGGGTAAGAAATTCTTGCCAATCTACCACAAATAAAATCTAGATCTACCAGATCTAGAAAAAGCTTGTTTTCCCCCTATTTTATAGCACAAAATAATCTTGTCCACAAGAATAGCAGTAAGCTCAACTCACTTGCTTTTTAAACATGCAATTAAGGTGTTAGTTTAACACACCAATTTGCTAATTGAGGCTCAAATGTACACACATGCCTACAACTTTCTTGCAAGAATAACAATAGCAATAGTAATTAAGAGGGGAAAGACTGTACTCCTAATGCCAATTCATACAAGATCTTCACATTTTTCCTGAGAAGGCTCACAGGTTGAAGCTTGCCTGGCCCAAAGCATATGTCAACAGTCTGCTTACCTCCATTTCCATCCGCCCCATGCCCATGACATCATACTTGACCACGATTGGAATGGGATCTGTCCTACCTGCAAGGCAAGCAGACCAGTCAGATGGATGGGTGAGGGGAATGATCATTCTCTGATGAGTAGCTTTGTACACATTGGATTTGGGTTGGTTAGAGATCTTGCCTTTGGAGTGCAGAGACCAGAAAGCTACAGAGAACCAAACAGAAGCCATTCTCACAGCTTACAACTACAAGCAGGCACATTGTGGGTGCCAGACTTGCCTTCACTTGCTGCCTGCAGCTTTCAACCCAGATGTTTGAGACATGCAATATTAATATTGAAAATTAATATTGAAATTATACACCCTCACATCAAAAGATAACAGAATGTGGAGGATGGGAACTATATAGTTTCTCAGATAACAAGACACACTTTCACAATGTAAACAGAATTCTTGTACCTTCTCTATTGAAGCAGAAATATTGTATTATAAATGCAAACATGAATGCCAAAGCAAAGCCCAGAAAACTAAACCTAGAATTCTTCCCTCTTCAAGATTAGGCCCTAAGACTTTGCCAGCCCTAAAATCAGCCTTGTGCATTCTGTCACTCTGGCTGTCCTACTTATGGCTTGTAAGCTGTGAAAAGGACTAGTTGCGAAGAAAACTGACTTTGAAACTAATCAAACTATGCTGAAGATTCCGTACGTATTTTTAATTCACTCATAACCAGCCAAACAAAGCAAAATGGGGCAGACGAGCACTTTGACTATCACAGCCTTTGGGGAAGTGTTTATTTTTACATCACAACATGCGCTGTGAGTTGTGATGTAAGGCCACTGGAAAAAAGGAGCTACTTACCTTATCCGGTGGATACCTTGAGTGAAAAAACAGAATGTTTATTTCCCTTATTATCGATCTTCGGGGGATTGGTGCCAACAATATTTTTCTGTTTGTTATACACACAAATGCACATATATTATACCCTTGGGCCAAAAGATGTCCAAACCTGAATTGCACCAAAATAAGGGGACTGAATTGCTAAAATCAATCCAAGTGGCACAAGAGGTATTGCTTTAGAGAAGCTGTGTCAAAAAGTTAGCTATCAATGTCTGCAACTATTGAAAATAGTGTGGCCCAGCTCACAATATTGCACTTGAGGATCTGGGTTCATGTTTCACCTTTGTCAAAGGACTTCAACAAACTTGTCTCTGCTCCATATTTAAGAACCAGGAATTATGACCTTACTCACAATAATATTGTGAGGGTTCAAGAAGGCTTGGAAGAACTCTCTGCACTTGAAGTGCCATAAAAATGGAGACAAAACATTCCCAGACTCTCAAAGGCATATATTTAACTTGGGAATAAATTTCAATATGGTTCCAAATCAAATAAATATCTTATGCAACATTTTTTAGGTATTTATAACATGGAAACTTGGGTTGAGAGGTTCAAATCCAGAAACACTGACCATCTGCCTAATAGAATTTTTTTCCTAATGCAACTTTTATATGAATATATACACATTTTCAGTAACAGAGAAGGGGATTTTATGCCCAATGGTATAAGAAGCAGTGACTGCAGTTTTGAGCAAAAGAACCAAATTTATGATAACTTATTCAAATTAATATATCCCATTCCACCAAATAAGTTTGATTTAATTTCTTCAGGAGTTAAGATTGTTGTGTCCAAGTTCATGATTGTGATATACCCCTTCACAATAAGAAGAACATATCAGTACTTTTGCTTTCTAAGGCAGTCAAAGTTTTCAGTTAGCTATTAAATTGCCATAGCAACTGCTTACACCCACCACATGTTGGGGAAAGGGAAGAGGAGGGAAATCAAGTTTGGACAATATTAGAAATTTGAAGTGATTCTCCACAAATTTTTGGCAGCTCTACCACAAACATCCCTTCTGAGCATTAACCCCTCAATGAACAAGGATCAGACACGGAGAAGTGCATGAAGAAATGGAAAGGAAAAAAGGGAAATGAAAAGACCAAGCAGAAAAGATGAAGGCTACAACAGAGAAAGTAAGCCTAACATATTTGGTGCTCTGATGACAAAAAAGAAGTAAATTCAGTCTGAAAATTAAAAATTACCACTAAGTTTACCATCACCACAACAAGTCCCGGATCATTATGCTGTAAAAAAGAAACATCATTTGTTAGGTAGAAGACCGTCCGGGACAGAAAACAGGTCCTATGCAGTAGGCAGATGGGGTGGGGGGTAGGGAGGTCAGGAATGATCTTGGCACCCTAAGACTTCCACCCAACCCACCCATCTTCTGGAAACTATAATCAAGCAGCTACTAATTTTCACAGGTGTTCTGAGCAAATGACCATGAAAAACTACTGCCTAAAGTCCCTAAAGATGGCACTTGCAAAAGTAGGAAAAGTTAAAGGGGTTGGGTGGAACTTGACTGTAATGCTGCAAATAAATCAAGAAAGCACCCCCCCCACCCCCAGGCAACATTTCCCAAACTTGTGATGGCAGAATCTCACTAAGGCAGTAAACCACTTTCAACTGCTGGTGCAGGGTACATATGAAATGAAAAATGACACAACAAATCCTATAACTGAAGAGCCTGGCAAGTCAGAGAGAATTCTTGCTAGAATCCTCTCTCTTGCACGCTAGCTTTCCGTGGGCAGGACATTATTGGTATACGGAGAAAAGCATTCTTTTTGTATGGAGAGAAGTTGTATGAACTACCTCCATCTGCATCATAAGTGGTACAGCATTATCACACATTTATACTTCAGCAAGTGCTCTGCTTAAAGACCAATGAGCTGCAGAAAATTCAATCGTCTCAAGTTCCTAATTGAACTCTTCTTTTTTAAGCAGTACCAAATCATAGGAATATGGCCCTTGGCATCTCTTCCCCCGCCACCAGCCAAAATCCTGAACTATTGTCTATCTTTCCATGCAGGGCAAACCACCACCAGGTAGATGGGAACAGTTATAGGACTGCTCCTATCCAGATCTTGCTTTGGAGGAAGTCATGCATACCTTCCCCCTTAGGTATGTTCCTGATATAAATGGACATTAGCTAGGTTTTTGCTTTG